TGGGAAGTGCAAAAAAGACTGAAAAATAAATGACCCCCTGTCCGCTCCCGCGTGAGCACTGCGGACTTAAAGCCAATTGGAAAAGATGAATCGGACTAATCAGTCATAAATAAATTTTGACAAAGAACAAATAAAAAATGGCTTCGTCATTACCCAAGTGGCTCAATTAATCGGTCCAGGCTTGGGCCTGACTGGCGCGAGCTAGAGCAAAATTGGCTCAAGCCTGGCTCAAGCTTCCGCCAAACTGGCACAAGTATCAGCCAGGAAAGTGTACTGCTAGGGTATGCTTGTGAAAGCTAATTATTGCGCTGGTGTCGTTTTGATTTGAATTGGGAGGCTGGTTTGCCGAAATTATGATCGGGTGTTTGTTTCTATCTCTGTTCTTTGTTTTGTTCTCGCTTCTGCATACTTGTTCTTGATTTGACTTGGCAGGCTGGTTAGCCGAAACCTTGTTTACGTGCTGGTTTATTTAAGTTTTTCTTTTTCGCCTCTGCGAACTTGCTGGGTCCAGTCTTACAAGCCATTGTCGGCTTAGACGGAGCCGTAATTTACATACCGAAAGCGTTGTGTGAATAAAAAGATTATTATTTACTCTCTTTCCCACTAATATTCGTTTACTCTCTTTCACACTAGATTTACTCTCTTTCACACTAATATTCCTAGTGTTAGGAAGTATTGGGATCAATTTTGCACTGTGACAAAATATGTAAAACATCTCACTGACGTTTTGGGTTCTAACTCAGGTAAATGTACCATCTATATCTATCGATCAATTTTTCCTTCCTAAATATCGAGAATTGTTCCCTACATGTTTGGGTTAGAAAGGGGGGGAGGGGTATCGCAATATTTGTGAAAAAATCATGGTTTACAAAACTTTTGAATGTTACATTTGATCACGCAGAGTGTATAGCCTTAAACATTTCTAGCCCATTATACTCGGTTACGTTACTTGCCGTCTATCGCCCCCATCTGATAATGTTACGTCTTTCTTATATAAACTGAGATCAAGTTTGGCCGACTTCAATGTCGCAAAACAGCTTCACGCACTCGGCGACATAAATATTGACAATATAAAACCTGCAAAGACAACCCGTCTGTTACTACCTCAATATTATTTCAGAATTCGGTCTTTAGATTACTATACAAGCCCCTACCAGAATAATTTTTAATGGACATTTTTTTTCTGCCTGTCTTGATCACATCAATTTACGGGCTTACAAACTTCTAGTTAAATCCGCTGTATTTTTGCAAAAACTTGCCGATCATTACTTCACTGCCGTTCAGTTAATTTAAAATACCCCTCCTAAATGCGCCACTCCTGAAACACGACAAATAGAAGTTGTTGATCGGAGCTTGTGCGAAAAACTAGTTTCTGGTTATGAATGGGACATCTTAATGCGATGTTTTAGTCAAGAGGAGCTTTACTCTAAATTCATACATGTATAGCGAAATTTCACACGACTCCGTAAAACAGTTGTTACAGTTGAACAGCGATACGCGGAAGATGTGTGGTTGAGCAATGACATAATCGCCGCAGTTAAGTACAAAAAGCTCTTGTGGACGTGTTGCCGCCGCTCTCCCAATACCGTAGATCTTTCAATCAAAATCAAAAGTGAACGAAACCGAATAACCGCAAATCATTCGCTCAGCCAAGCGAAACCATGTTAAACAGAAGCTGGTTGACGCGCATTCCGATTCCCGCATAAAATGGCCTGTCGTTAAAGAAATGCGCGGTGAACACAATGCAAAACATTCTGACGATGAAACGATTCCAAAGTATCTTTCTGGTAACAAACATTCCACGACTACTGCATTTAATCCTAATTTCGGAAATACGTCAAGTGTCTCACGAGAGAGTGGCCATTGTCACTAAGCGGCCATTTGAAAAACGATTCATCTGCCTTCCTTTCTGAAATAAATGAGGAAGCACTACATAGTATGCTGCGTAGTTTCAAGCCTGGATTATTACCCGGTATTTACAATATGCGTAGAAATTGTAAGTCCCTGAAGAGTCTAATTATAGATGTTTTAAACGGTATTATAATATCCAGTAATAATCCTAAATATCTTAAAACGGCAATCGTCTTATATAAAAATGGAGACCATGGTAAAGTTATCGTCCAATCTCCATCTTGCCTTCATTAGCGAAACTCTAAGAAAAACACCTTTTCTTGCTAATGACAGCTTTTTTAGATAAATTTGATATTCTGTCGGCACAGCAGTACGGGTTTATAACCGGAAAAGGCGCACAACCTTTGCTTGAAGATGTTTTTTTTTTTATTTACTTTATAGTGCGTTCCAGCACAACCTTTTCACATGTGCGCTTTTTCTGGACGTGTCTAAGGCTTTCGACTCCGTGTCCCATTAAGTTATCTTGAGTAAACAATAGAGTCTTGGCTTTAGAGGCCCTTTTTGCGCATTGCTAGAAAACGTTTTGTTAAATCGTGCTCAGCTCGTCTCCATATGTCATATTGCCAAAATGGCGTTCCTCAGAGCTCTATATTGTCACCTCTTTTGTTTAATATTTATGTCAACGACCTCCCGCAGGCGCTAAAGCTCTGTAAAGTATTTCAACACGCCGATGATACGTTTTTTTCTTGTCCAGTCATATACGTTACTGTGATGCCGTTGATTTGCTCCAATTAGTTGAAATACGGGTGATGGATTGGTCTTCGGAGAATGTAATTCGAAACAATCCTAAAAAAACGCAACTGATATGCTTTCGTAGTCCGCTAAAATTGATTTTCTTTTCAAACTGAGTATTTTGCATCTGCGAGCCAATAGACTTGTCAACAAAACAAAATATTTAGGATTTCATTTTGATTGTAATCTATCATGGAAATCTCTACTTTTCCTACATCTTTAAAGAGTTACGAGCCGCTTCCTGCACTCTCTACAACCTGCGCATATTTTTCCGACGTCAACGAGAGGATTTCTGGTGCATGTGCTCGGTGTATTGAATACTTCGGTATGGGATAGCTGTGTCGGGACAGTGTACGTACCAATTAGACTCTAAAGTGAACTCTTTACTCAGAGGAATTTTGCAAAGCGTGCAATATGCCTCGAGTCTCCAATCATCTGATAGCCTGTTTAACGACCCTCTATACCAACATGTCGAGCACTATTTTGGCAAACTGTAATAATCAGACACTATTAGAATAACACTTTTAAAAACCCCAACCACGCATGTTGGGCCCTTCCAGATCCGACACCGATTACACCGATGCGCATCATCATACATCTTGGGAAATACATTCGTCTGTACTACGTACCTGTCTTTTTAACTACCTTTACTCTGCTCTATTTGATGTCAAATCTCGAGGAGGTTTGAAACGTCAACAGAAAGCTTTATGTTCAGGCATGTAATGTTGTATTTACCTGCCTATGCAATTTTTCTTTGCTCTTTTCACTTTCCCTGAACTCTGTGCATTGTGCCGTAGCGCACTGCCTGTACATATTCCCTTTTGTCGCGCGTTCTGGCTCTCTGCTTTTTTTTTATTTTGTTCTAGGTGCGCATTGAAGTTAATAATTTAAGGACTAGTATTACAAGCCTTTATTGCTTTGATGCTCCCGCTATTCTACATTGATATACTTAAAGTACCTGCAATAAATGTATTATTATTAATATTAAAATTATTATTATTATTATCATTTTTTAAATTTTATTATTATTATTATTAAAGACCCTACACGGCTCGATTAACTCTCCCAGCCTTCAGTACGAAGTGAACCTTAGAGTCCCACGTCTGCCTACACTGCTTCAATCGTCATTTTATATAGCTCGACATTTTAGCCACTTAAACCCGATCCGAAGATCAGCTGAGTGTTATAGCCACTACTCTGATACAATTGATATTTTTAACTCACGCGGGAGTTAGTTCGGAAACGCTGTTGGAAACTTCCTTTTGCAAGAAAAGGGCTGATCAATATAAGGGTCGATGTTTGTCAGTACGATATCCAAGTATTTGCTTTTTGCTGTCACACGTTGTGATGTCTGTTTTGTGTTTCTGGTTCCCTTTGCTGATTTCTGTGTCTTTCGTACTTGTTCATATTTTTATTCTTAGACTGGTTAACTACGTTCCCCTTCTGCACTTTTGTATGTGTGTGTGCTTTTGCTCGTTTTTTTAAGTGCCCTAGCACTGAGACCGATTGGTTGTTCCTGGACACTATAAAAACCCTGATGAATTGATTGACTCATTTGATTATTATTATTAATAAATACTCCGCATCAACGCAGAGCCGTGGTCTAACTAATAAGAGTGCTCTGCTCTTGGCAGCACTGTGACATAATGCCAGCCCCAAAGAGTGAAGTTGAGACTTTATATTTCAACGCAGCCTTTATTTGTTCAAGCATTATCAGGCTCATCATATAAATGCGCGTTTAATATTATTCTAACTAGAGATCATCTACCACAATGTCATTACTCGCTGCATGGCTCATGATTGTGGGATTTAAATATATATATTTAAGTTTATGACGTTGAAATACTATCACTTTTTTAAACATTGCTTGGCTGATTTTTACATTGAACCGGGTCGTCATATCTTCATAAACAAGTTATTAGCTTTTGTTTTTCTGTGGTAGGTACGACATAGCATTAAAACTCAATAGTTGGATAGCACTTTTACAAATACGAACTTTGTCTATAAAAATGTACAAACTTAAAAAAATGTGGCTTATACTGTACAAGGTTCTACATTCAATCGAGTAGACCTGAAAATACCTGTTAAACTGTTTATGTGAAGGACAAACACAACCACCTTCAACTAAAGGGACCATTGACTTCTCGACCTGTGATAAATATTATAGATATGGCTTATTGGCAATTTTAAGGCAACAAATTCGAATTTGGCGTTCGATGATATCATTTCAAGGTGCCCGAGTACTGCGAACTTGAAATGAAACACTTCGCAATCTCTAGAAATATGTGTGCAGCAAACAGTTAATCGATAGTTTTACAAAATGCGAAGGTTGTGCACGAGTTGAGTTGAGTAGTTACCTTTCCGTTGTAAGCAGGCCTTTCGGACAGAAGGGCAAACATCATTAATGCACCTTGGGACCACCCCACGTAATGCAAACGTTTTTGTCCCGTTTTCTTCAAAACAAAATCCAGCATTGCAGGTAGATCAATTGTGCTCAATTCATCTGCACTGAAAGCAAACATAGCACGTCCCGGTCGCAACATGGTAATTTCGCAACGATAACAAACACTAGAACACACCAAGGACAGGTTCACACACTTTCGATTGCTTTTGGACGGAAAGGTTTAAGGGGGGTTCACACTTCAGTGACCAACTACGACCGTCTCCGTCACCAGCGGTTTTTAAGCCACTTGTGACTGCTTGCGCCTCAACGCGCAACAGCGATTGCGATGGTAAGCTGTTTATAAACGGGTTGTGTGAAAGTCGATCATAGTCGGTCGTGCATGTGTGAACCAGCCTTCAAAAACGGTTCCAAGCATCTTGTGACTGTTTCTGACCGGCTACGCAGCAGACCGCAATCAATCACAAGAGGCTTAAAAGGGGGTTAGAGGTTATTCGGTTGTAAAAAGCAGTCACAACTACGTGAACTAGCATTACAAGTCTATTACCACCGTTAACACAACCTTGAAAAGTGCATCTGTTGCAACGGATTATAGCCATCATGCACTAATCTGAATATTCTCAAGCTGCTTAGGACAATAATATTGATATTGGCAACTTATAGAAAGCACCCTCCGGCCATCTTTTCAACCATATCATGCCACTTCAAAGGGGAGTGTTATGCCTCAGTGTACAGGTATAGACTGGGCATTTTCCGAATATATAAGTTCACCGATGTTTTATTAGATACTTGTATATGTATAAGGCACCCTTTTTATGGATCCTCTGCTGCTTCTTTTTTTTCTGGGTTTTTATACACAAGTAAATACAATAGTGTGGTTATTTTTATTAAGATCTTTCATATTACCTTTTAAAAGAAAGTAGCAAATCGAATCTAATGAGAAGGCGAAACCAGTCTAATGAACAGGTGACGCGCTCGAGAAATAAACTTCAGCGTGGGCGGAAACAAAATACGCGAGCAGAAGCAGTTTGAAAGGTGAAGTTACAACAGCAATAAAGAGGGTGATGAAAAAAAATGGACAATAGAATATCCCAGGCACTTAGCATCTGCAATCTGAATTTTAAAGTTTCAACTCTACAACCAACAAAAACATATTTGACTAGGTGACACTTGTCAGGCAGAACCAGCAGCCATTGATGCTGCGATTGAACCTCTTTACTGCTTTTATCTAAAAAGCCACTTAACGCAGCGTCATTGTCCAACGGTTATATGCAACTAATCAGGGAATTTAGAGTCGCGCAGATGGCACATATCTCCTCGCTCGAAACTTGTGGATTAATGAATCCATGGGATTTTTTGTGCTCCGCCTACTATGGGCCTCGAGCGAGTAATCATTTATATTCAACCTTTTTATGCGTCTACCCATGACTTTATTTGTTTAATACTCCGCTCTTTCAAATGTAAGGTAAGCAAGTTTGAAACGAGGGCAGATCTCTCAATTGAAATATTTCCGTGATGATTATGGCCATGTCGGTCCGTTGTTTAGTTGATACCGTGACATTTTTTTGAATCACCAAACATGATCATTCTACAATAAATTGTCTAGAAGTACAGGAAGAATTCCAACAGAAAATGAGAGAAACCAAAATATTTCCTTCAAAAATAACCTTTTCAAACCAAAGACTGGTGTAGTAAAACATCTCCGGGTAATAATCCAAAGAAGTAGTGATTCTTGCCCAAATTTAAGCATACATCAGGCATTGGAAGTAATAAAAATTGAGGGAAAATTACTAACCACATCTAAAGCAATCTGTTTAACAATAATTCAGAAAATATATCAAACATGTGTGGCTTCACTGAAGACCGGAAAGTGGCACTTAGCTTAGCCTCTTCAGGAATACACCTCGCAGAGAAATGCAGGTTGCCATTTTGAGACCAACAAGATACCCGTTTCAAGTTCTTCCTTGCAGCTTCGACACTCACATTTGGGTGAAACTTTTGCGTTTGAGAGAGGCTAGTTGTATTTTAATCTTTAAATTCATATGTTTTTGAGGCAACATTTATCAGTACATTCAAACGAGAAATGTAACTTGCATTTTTAGAGCTCATGTCAGTAAACATTCCTCTTTCAGCAGGCCTAATATTAAAAGTAACCAATTAACATTTTTGAAAAGTTACATTAATGTCATGATGAAAGAAACGCTCTTACCTAAAATCCCAGAACTCTTTCTCAAAACGCGTTAGCCACTTGTGCCTCGTGTATCGGGTTCCTCGGTTATTTCCCAACCAGACATCGTACCCGGCATCCGCAAGAAGGAAACCTAAAAACGTAAATATAAATTTGTTTTAGTTTAGTTGTTCAATCAGCGGCACTCATTCATTGAGTGAAAGCTGAAACTTCCGCTCACGAGTATTATGAAATGTTTGACCACGCCTTCGGGAAATTTCAAACTACACCACTACAAGCGGTAAATTACTTTACATTGCCTCCCCCGTAACCGTCAGCTACAACTGTCAGCAATTCGTGGCACCAATTCAACCGGTGATGAAGCATTGTATGTAAAACATTTATCCTTGTCCCCTGAAAACAATTGGCACCGCTCCTACGGAATTTCTTCACGAACATTGTTTCATTGAATTATACAGGATGTGTGTTCACGCCTTGATCATCTGTTTTCAAACAAACTTGTGATTGCAACACAAATATGGTATGTGTAGGTGAGTTATATTGCTGGGGAGGCGTAATATAAGGGGCAAGTCATCACTACAAGTCAAACGAATAATTTTAGTTTGTTAATTAACCTTATAGTTCGTAAAAATAAAGCCATGGTATGAATTAAGAGCTTGCTTAGCGTCATCGAAAATCACTAAATTGGTAAATATTTGCAAGATATGGAGCACGTCAAAGGTGAGATGCTGCGCTAAAGTTACATCTCATGCAACAGCCCCAAAGCTGGCGTCTCGAAAACGCGGATGCTAAACCCGCGGAGGTGTTGTCAGCCTTTTCGCACCTCTAGCCTTGCGCCTATCGTACGACTGAGAAGTTCAGCTTGCCACCGCACTTGGCAGGCACTTAAAATATTGTCAAAATTGACTGATTTAGATATTTTCAATGACGCTCATAAACTTTCATGGTAGAATCAGATGTACATTTTCACTAATTAGAAGGCTTTTATTTCCAGTTTTTTTTTTTTTACAAAAAGAAAGAAACCAAGACAAAACCTGCTGTTGCAACTTGAGCAGGTATTCTCTCACTAAAACACGTCGACGAGAAAGGAACATCGTAAGAAGAATTGTAAAGTTAAACGCACCAGCACGAACATAGCTGCTCACATTATTGCACTAAGGGTGCGCGAGGTATTCGAGAACACAACTCCATGCTGAATAACTTATTATACTCTTACTATGCCCATCTAGACGCTTTACGTTGCCTTCGAGTGCATCTGTAATCTATGTGAATTATCAATATCAAAATGGAAGCTTTCTGATAGACACATGAACTGAAAAAGCATGCCGTCCTGATTTCCTTGGCCGCCGCTCATAGCATTTTGGTTATAGCCACCTTCTTGACTTTGTGAAGGTTCATTGCTTTCAGGGTCAGAAAAGAATTTTAGGTTTCTGACAAAAATAATGCATCTTTGACCAAGCGAAAAAAAAATTCTCAGCGGTCATACCTCATGAGGAGGGTTGAGTTTGTCTGGCAGGCTGCAGGACATAGTTAACGACGACCCCAGAAAATCAATGAGTTTCGATTGCCAAGCAGCTCGAAGTGGCAGAACCCACTCTCAGGCTTGTGATGCTTCAGGATACTACCCTAGCAGCACACTTCGCCGGCTTATATTTGAGCCACACTGGCGCAAGCTTGGAACAGGCTTGAGCCAAGTTTACTCTGGCTCGGGCAAGTGTGACCCAAGCCTGGGCCCAGCAAGTGTGCTACTTGGGTAAATACGAGTCGTAGTAACAAAAAACGGGCAGTTTATCTCACAAAAGCCCCAAGAAAACAATGTCATTTGGTTCAAGCACGTGTTAAACAAGCTAGAACATCCTAAAGAACCGGAAGTGTTTTTTTCCGATGGTACTAACTTTTAGTTAAGAACAAAAGGAATACAGGAGGAATGAGAGGTTACTATGGGTGAACCTCGATAAGGTTCCTACGGACATGCGGGCAAAGTCTCTTTCATTGTGATGAACCTAGCCGTTGTGAGCAACGAGGGTCACGTCATGCCGCTTCACGTTTTTCGTCGGAACCTTAGGATCAACTCAAAGCCTACATCGAGACCCTGGGCACCGCAGTAAAACAATAAACAAAACGTGTGGGCCAGGGGAGGCCGTCCATGGTTCAGCAGGACTCCGGTCCATGCCACCCGGCACACGCAACCCCAGATTGGCTGACTGGCAAACTCCACGAACACGAAACCTCCAACATGTGACCTTCTAACTCTGCAGATGTAAACCCGCTGGACTACTATGTCTGGCGCGTCGTCGAGTGAAAGACCAACAGGATGCCTCCAACACCGAAAAGTCGAGAAAGGGTGCGATTGTGGACGTTTTCGGCCGTTTTCAAAGCCGCTTGGAGTAAGTAATTGTCACTGAAGGTGGTTTTATTGAATAAAATATTTCTAGAACACGAATAGAATAGAATATTTCTGCCAAATTTGGTGCTAATATGTGATTGTCTCTTTGATTTTTTTTTTGTTGCTGAAACCACTGTTACGTTTTCAATTACCTCGCGCATCGTTAGATATTCGCAGAAACTAAAACAGAAGCACAAGCGCAAACCTCCCCGTACCAAGTTACTCAGTCACTTTACAGAAAAACTAAATTCAAACACGTCACAGCACACTGTAGTCAACACATGCATACTTGTATTGTCTGTGATAAAAGTTTAGTTTACACTTTATTTTATTTGCCATGGAGGTTCACGGCTTTTGTTTCCACTTCATTAAGTAACGATGTCAGAGCCTACTGCAATGAAGCAAAACCATAATTGGTATGAGCGTTTATTTCTCTACATATATCATCTTGACCTGTGACATACCTTCAATAAATTTGGACAAGCATAAAGTTCAGGTAAAGCATGCCACATTATGCATCGTCGGCAACGAGAACCTATACGACTGGTCAATGGGAATGCCGTTATGTTTTAGAAAAAAAGTTCGCTCGAAGGGTGCAAGAAGGGAATACATGAAAAAAATTCAATAATGAGTGCAAAGATAGCAATTTTACACTTGCTCGAATGATTATCAATTTTTACAGACGGGACCAATAGATTAGTAAATTCCTCAATGTAAATCACCACCGTCCTCATTCCATAACAATTATTCATTCAAAAACACGTACCTAACATCTTGGTGAATTTACCCGAGCAATTTGATTAAACATGACGTTATTTGTAACAAATCAAGTATTAGTCTATTTCGCAATCGAAATAGCACACACTTCGTCTCATCAGCCTTTATGTTTAGCCCATTTACTTAGTATATAAATCTATGTTTGAAATACTTCATTTCCCTCACTCTGTCTTTCAGCCACAATGTAATCTTTAAACAAAAAACTAAAAAAAACAGAGTTGTTTCATGAGCATCACAAAGAAGGTTATCGTTTGGTTCACATTTTTTGATGTACTGTATAAAGCAATTAATAAAGTGGCCCTGGTGGGCTACCCTGAGAAAGCCTAGTTTCCATCTCTAATGGGTGAAATAGAGCACTTAATACCAACAAACTGCGTAAAGTATTGCAGGCAGGCTTAGAGCTGTTCCATTAAAAAGTTAATTAAGATATTTTCAATAATTATTCGGCTTATAGTGATTATCAGGCTCCTACAATATGTTCCTCTGGTCCAGCTGCAAAGACCAGATTAGTGCAGCTTTCTCGGCTTTTTTTCAAACATATCTATAAAGGGCTGTGCGTTGAGATATTAGACATATCACGACTGGAATTTGTTGATTTCTGGTTCACATAATCTCCCAGAGGCGCGTAAATAGAGTAGTCCTTTCAAAACTTAATCCCCCACGTATAGAATTATCTAAATTGCTTGTCATGCGTATTTGATTTAAAGAGGGCAGCTCTTAGGCACCCGTTTCCGGGTTGAGCGCGTCGCCGTCGCCATCGGCGTAACCGCGCGTTGCATTATGAGACGTTTCCCATAATGACGACACACATGACGTCACTGTGACGTCACGAGGGTAACATTTTCTTGCTTAATTTGGCGGGAAATGTTTTCGCTAAATTTAGCAGGAAACGTTTACCCTCGTGACTTAAAATGTGACGCCATATAACCCGGGAGACTTTTCGCGCTCAATTTCAACGACATCAACACGTTGGACCACTGCATTCACAAAACCTATATAGCCACTAGCAGCTAAATACATGCAGGTCACCTCTTATGCGCCGAGACACTGAGAGAGAGGAGGAGTCGTCATAACGGTGAGCTCTGGTGGAAATATTTGTAGAAGGCTAGGCCTAAAACTAGCTGTCGTTGTCACCACGGCACTCGTCGAACGCGTAAAAACGCAGAACACCGGCGCCCGGCGCTTGACTTTCGCATTCGACCGCATTCGACGAATCAAGTGGAGAAAAAAGCTCCGTTTGATCTACCTGCAACCTCATGCGCCGGTGCAGAAAGGTGTCGAGTGGTGTACTCTCGGTAGTATCTTTATACGGAGAGCAAGTCGTCTGCTTGCGCAGAAGTTGCGATGACGTCAAAACGACGCCGAACTCTTATTTGCCGACTGAAAAAAAAAAAAAGTGGGTAGATGGATTTCAATGCTAGATGCTTTGAGGTCGACCAACTATTTTTTTTTTTTTTTTTGCAATCAGCCAATACGAGCTTGGCGTCGTTTTGACGTCAACGCACCAGAGTTGGTCGTAAACGCACCTCCCGCACAAGAAGCATTCGACTTGCTCTCCGCATACTGACACCGGAAGTACACTGCGCTACACTTTTGTGCATTAGTGCAGGTGGTAGAGACATATCGAACAAAGCTAGACATTCTTTGCCTTTGTTGCACTCGTTGAACGGGTTAAAACTCGGAACGCAGGCGTCCGGCGTTTGGCTCTCGCATTCGAACGCGTTTAACGAGTGCACTGGAGACAACGGCAGCTAGCTTTAGGTCTACCCATTAATTCTTCGAATCGGAGCTCGGCGTTCTGGCCCCCCCCCCCCCCCCTTCCCCGCGCCGCTCTCCTCTCCTCCTGTACCTCAATTTCTCGGTGCATTCTCTTCGCGCTTTTTGCTTAGTGATTTATCCGTCAAAGTTCTTATGGGCCAGGGCAGCAACCTCATTGGATCCGAAGCGATAATAAGGTGCTGAGAATTTGC